GGCTAGGAAGAGGCAGGTGGATGGACATTAGACCCAGGGGTGCCCCAGGCGGCTCTGCATTCTGCACACGGGTACCGACGGCTCCGCCTGTGGGCAGTTACTTGCGGTGGCCACAGGGCTAAGGCCCCGGAAGGGCTCCCAGCTGACTCTGGTGCCCAGATGTCCGGGCTTAGCTGCGGGCTGGGGTTCGTCTCCGGGACGTGGCCGCTGACTCTTACTAGTCTCATTTCCTCCTTTTTTCAGGTGCGAGAGGTTCTGGGCTGCTGTACCTGCCCCTCTCAGTTTCCCATGATCAAAATCTCAGAGGGTAAATATAAAGTGGGAGACTCCAACGCGCTGATCTTTGTTCGAGTAAGACCCTCCGCAGCCGTGTTTCCTTTCTGTCCTGCTCCCTTCTCTGCCATGCGGTACCCGAGCTGGTCCCCCTCCTTGGGCACTGCTACGGTCAGCTGTGGGCATGCCGGCTTCTCCCTCCCTGACGGGACGCGGGGAGCCAGGACGTCCTGGCTTCACTGGGTGACCTTATGGCAAACTGCCACACCTCGGAGCCCAACAGTGGGGACGGGCGGAGGTGCTGGTGAGTACCTCTTCAGTGCTCTAGCACCACCCTGCTCGGGCACCTGTGGGCTAGCAGGGATGCCAGGTGACACCTGAAGTTCTGTCCGTGCCGTGGGGTCTGAGCCTGTGTGATTTTTGGGAGGGCTCTTTGCTGGCCAGGCCGCTTGATCTGCAGGAGCGGGAGAGGTGCTGTTGGTCCTCCGAGACCATCTGCTCCCCATTGGCTGGCGCTGGAGCTGGCACTGGGAGCCTGGAAGGGGGGGATCCTGGGTGCAGGGGCTGGGGCCAGGCTGTAGCCCAGTGCAGGGAGGACTAAGCAGCACTGCCTAGTGGTGATTGCTCAGACCTGGGAGCCCGATCGTCTGCAGTGCTGGGCCTCTGACGTTGAGTAAGTCACGTGCTCGACCCCTACCCCCGTACCTCAGTTTCCCCGGATGTAGAGCGGGGCTAATGATGGGCACAGTGCACGGGGGTGGGTCCGGGAGGGGCAGAGCTGCTGGCGGAGAGCTACAGCCCTGGCTCCCTCCCAGCGCGCGGCCCCCAACTCCCCTGCAGCGCCCCTCCCAGCGCGCGGCCCCCAACTCCCCTGCAGCGCCCCTCCCAGCGCGCGGCCCCCAACTCCCCTGCAGCGCCCCTCCCAGCGCGCGGCCCCCAACTCCCCTGCAGCGCCCCTCCCAGCGCGCGGCCCCCAACTCCCCTGCAGCGCCCCTCCCAGCGCGCGGCCCCCAACTCCCCTGCAGCGCCCCTCCCAGCGCGCGGCCCCCAACTCCCCTGCAGCGCCCCTCCCAGCGCGCGGCCCCCAACTCCCCTGCAGCGCCCCTCCCAGCGCGCGGCCCCCAACTCCCCTGCAGCGCCCCTCCCAGCGCGCGGCCCCCAACTCCCCTGCAGCGCCCCTCCCAGCGCGCGGCCCCCAACTCCCCTGCAGCGCCCCTCCCAGCGCGCGGCCCCCAACTCCCCTGCAGCGCCCCTCCCAGCGCGCGGCCCCCAACTCCCCTGCAGCGCCCCTCCCAGCGCGCGGCCCCCAACTCCCCTGCAGCGCCCCTCCCAGCGCGCGGCCCCCAACTCCCCTGCAGCGCCCCTCCCAGCGCGCGGCCCCCAACTCCCCTGCAGCGCCCCTCCCAGCGCGCGGCCCCCAACTCCCCTGCAGCGCCCCTCCCAGCGCGCGGCCCCCAACTCCCCTGCAGCGCCCCTCCCAGCGCGCGGCCCCCAACTCCCCTGCAGCGCCCCTCCCAGCGCGCGGCCCCCAACTCCCCTGCAGCGCCCCTCCCAGCGCGCGGCCCCCAACTCCCCTGCAGCGCCCCTCCCAGCGCGCGGCCCCCAACTCCCCTGCAGCGCCCCTCCCAGCGCGCGGCCCCCAACTCCCCTGCAGCGCCCCTCCCAGCGCGCGGCCCCCAACTCCCCTGCAGCGCCCCTCCCAGCGCGCGGCCCCCAACTCCCCTGCAGCGCCCCTCCCAGCGCGCGGCCCCCAACTCCCCTGCAGCGCCCCTCCCAGCGCGCGGCCCCCAACTCCCCTGCAGCGCCCCTCCCAGCGCGCGGCCCCCAACTCCCCTGCAGCGCCCCTCCCAGCGCGCGGCCCCCAACTCCCCTGCAGCGCCCCTCCCAGCGCGCGGCCCCCAACTCCCCTGCAGCGCCCCTCCCAGCGCGCGGCCCCCAACTCCCCTGCAGCGCCCCTCCCAGCGCGCGGCCCCCAACTCCCCTGCAGCGCCCCTCCCAGCGCGCGGCCCCCAACTCCCCTGCAGCGCCCCTCCCAGCGCGCGGCCCCCAACTCCCCTGCAGCGCCCCTCCCAGCGCGCGGCCCCCAACTCCCCTGCAGCGCCCCTCCCAGCGCGCGGCCCCCAACTCCCCTGCAGCGCCCCTCCCAGCGCGCGGCCCCCAACTCCCCTGCAGCGCCCCTCCCAGCGCGCGGCCCCCAACTCCCCTGCAGCGCCCCTCCCAGCGCGCGGCCCCCAACTCCCCTGCAGCGCCCCTCCCAGCGCGCGGCCCCCAACTCCCCTGCAGCGCCCCTCCCAGCGCGCGGCCCCCAACTCCCCTGCAGCGCCCCTCCCAGCGCGCGGCCCCCAACTCCCCTGCAGCGCCCCTCCCAGCGCGCGGCCCCCAACTCCCCTGCAGCGCCCCTCCCAGCGCGCGGCCCCCAACTCCCCTGCAGCGCCCCTCCCAGCGCGCGGCCCCCAACTCCCCTGCAGCGCCCCTCCCAGCGCGCGGCCCCCAACTCCCCTGCAGCGCCCCTCCCAGCGCGCGGCCCCCAACTCCCCTGCAGCGCCCCTCCCAGCGCGCGGCCCCCAACTCCCCTGCAGCGCCCCTCCCAGCGCGCGGCCCCCAACTCCCCTGCAGCGCCCCTCCCAGCGCGCGGCCCCC